TGACAATCTAATGGAGGAAAGAAAAATGATATTATCATGTATATATGAACTAGACATAACGACAACAAAAACAACAATTAAAAAAAGAAAAGATCCTTATGATCAGCATAAATATCTCTCTGGACTTAATTCCATTGTTGAGCTTACCATTAAGTTTGGATCAGATAGCTACATAATGTGTCATTTTCTCACAAAACCTTCTCAAAAATAACAGAGTCATAACCTGGATCCATTCTTTAACATCAAGAGAGTGGCTTCTTGAGAGACAGAGAGAGAGAGAGAGAGAGAGAGAGAGAGAATATGATTCTTCTCTTTGCTGTACCCCAAGTTCGATAAAACGAAAGCTCTTCATAAGAGGACAAATTCCATATTTTAGGAATTAGGGCGCTGAAATCCTGAAACATTTCTTCCCGTAATTCTGTGAACATGCATATTAATTTGAAACCAAACCAAAGTTGTAGTGGAATGAGACTGAATCATATGCCTTCAAGAAGCTTCAAAGAACCTGCACCACCAACTCCATCTCAGGAGCTGTGGCTAGTGGACAATTTCAAAATGTAATAAAGTACCATTAACAAGGGAGTGAAATAAGTTATAGGAGAGCAAATGAACACTACAGGGTTACAAAGGCAAAGAGTTTTTCGGTATACCGTGTCTTCTCCTTAATTGGCTGTTTCCAGTTTTCTGCCTGCAGATCCAGGGGAGTTCAGTTATTGTAATTCATAGAATTCTTAGAAGTTTAAAATATGCCTGAAAATGAAAATGGAAGCTGTTCACAGAGAGAGAGAGATACCTTGAGGCTTCACGAGGACCTCATATGCTGACAAATGTCTCCCCATCTATCAAAACAGGAAACTGGATACATTTTTTTCATTGTCAGCAGTACAGGCTAGACATAATAATATTAATTGCTAGCATGCTAGGACAGCAATATAAAATACAACATTGATGGAAGAAGCATGCTTTCCTTTAGGTTGTATTTTTTCTTTGTTTAGAAATCAGCATCCTTATTTTATTCTTTTATAAACATGGGGGGGGGGAGGAAGGAAGGAAGGCATGCATAAAGCACAGTGAGTAAGCAATACAGATGGTTCAGACCAGATCTTTAATTATAAAATACCAATATTCCCATTAGCCTCCCCAGCATGTTTGCTCTTTATTTTAAAAAAAAAAGTGTCTGCAGAAGAAGGGATGAGGTTATAGGGTGGAAGGTTGAAGATCTCAGTCTGTGTTCCTTGAAACCCTCTGTGTCTTCACACTCTGGGCTCACCTCCTGCTTGGGGTGACAACTTGGTCATTCCTGCTGCCATCACCAAAGGGACCTCACCTGGCATCTACTCCCAAGCCTGTGGATGTGAGATGAGAGGCCTCTCCCAGTCTCTGCTTCCTTTCTAGCAATTAAAAGGTCAGATTTTAGCAAGTGAAATAATTTCTGTAATGCAAGCTGCTGACTGTAGAGGCATGAGAGGCTTTGGCCCAGTCTTTGAGAGACAATGCAATCTCAGGGAAGATTAAACAAAATGAAACTTTATTTAAAAAAAAAAGTTTTATTTTTTTTATTTTAAAATATTAAAAGCCCTTGTTAACTTGAAACATGAATATGCAAACATTCATGTTGAAGAGGTTCAGTTAACCAAGGGGGGAAAAGGGAAATATGCAAGAAAACATGATGCTCTAAGCCAGTGTTTTTTAACTTCAGCCACTGTAAGATGTGTGGACTTCAACATCCAGAATTCCCCAGCCCGCCTAGGTTGCTTGGGGATTTTTGGAAATGAAGTCCACAATTCTTTAAGGTGGCAAAGGTGAGAAACAC